AAAAATTTTTTTAACATATTAAATAATAAATATATATAAAATTAATATAACAAGATAAAAATATACATTAAACTAGTAAAATATATCCTCCATAAGTTTACGGGTTTTTAATTCCCATTTCTTTTTCTAACAAGTATTTCCATGCCGTTAGCAGAGCATTAGCATCCTTTGCGTTTAAGCAATTATTATTTATTTTACTCTTATATATCTGCATTTTTTCTATGCCAAACGCAATAGTCGGAGAATGGACAGGTCTAACTATCCTTGCATCATCCCACTTAACATTTGCCCCATCTGATTGTGCCATGATTGCCAAGATGGTGTTGTTGTTCCCTTTACTAACGTCATACATGTACTCCTTTAAACGAACCGCCAGGTTTCTCGCGGTGATACCCACATAATCTTTTGCCACTCCTAATTGTTGATTTTCAAAGGGAATTCTATAAACCCCAGCCTTTTCCAATCTTGTCCTTATCATTTCTTAGCAATTTGTAGATGTTTGGCGCTCGTTTATAAACAGTTCTTGTGCTCTTATATTTACATAGTTCTTCCATTATTCCTTCTACCTTCCTGTTGTATGTAAACTTATTAAACCTATTTTTTAGCTTATCTCGTTTGTTTGTCTCTTGTTTGTAACCTTTGACCAATCCGTTAATTGTAGATGTTTTGTATCCTAAACTTTTCGCATTCTTCCTGATTCTGTTAATCTCGCTAATTCTATCCTGTACGTTGGTGCAATATAAGAACGCTCTTTTAATAAGCGCCCTAAACGATGCCATCTTGAATCTAAACGGATCATTAGATCATAAACGGATATATAGTGGAGAATGTGTGGGTTTTAGATACACTGACGTTTGTACATATCCTTGTTTAAATCTTATGTTAATATCCAAAAAATGGATATGTGTATGGCTTTTTTGTTCAAGTTTTAGTTTTAACCCATGCTTATTGTTATTTATCGTAATTAAAAATTCCTCAATCCTTCGGTTATCCTTCCAAACTATGAATACGTCATCAACATATCTTTTGTATAATATAATGTCCTCCATGTAGTTTTCTAGAACCTCCTTTTCTAGTTGACGTACCACTAATTCGCACAAGAGACCCGACATGGGACTACCCATTGGGACTTCTTTCCTTTGTTTGTACACTGTCCCATTGAACGTAAAAAAGGATTGGTAACACATCAAATCTGCCAATTTATTAAGTCTTCCATATACGCTGCTAATCCTGGATTATGTTGTACCATAAAATCAACAAGAGTATTGAAACAAGATGTTAAATTCATGGAAGGGTACATGCTTTCAAAATCCATAACCGTTCGTATTTCATCATTCATCAGTGCCAAACCTTGTAACTCTTTTACCAACTTATTTGGATCCTGTGTTACATACACATTATCCTCCAACATTTCATAGATATACTTTTTTAATCGTTTTTCTAACATAAAGGTTGGAGCACCACATTTCTCAACTACCGGTCTAATTTCTTTGTTTTGCTTGTGCGTTTTTGCGAACGCAAATATTCTGGGTATTCGGGGGGGCACGGGTTATGTGACTTTTTTAATAACGTCATGTACTTCGCGAGTGGAGTTTTTCTAGCTTTTTAACTTTGTTGTTTGTTATTGTTACAATCTTTTCGTCCACGATATCACATTCCGTTATCTTAATATAATCTTCAAAGGCTTCATTATACCTTCCTCTTTCCATAATCACCATTTGTTTAGTTTCGTCGGCTTTTGTTAACACTAACTGATTTTTCGTTAGCCATTCTTTTGTATACTTTATATTTAATTTTTCCTTATGTCTTTCCTTTTTTCTGAAAACCATCTTCCATCTAAAATAATTCCTTTCTACTTCATTAAGACCTTATGGAGGATATATTTTACTAGTTTAATGTATATTTTTATTTTTGTTATATTAATTTTATATATATTTATTATTTAATGTGTTAAAAAATTTTTTAGTTAAGTATATATATCTATATATATAAAAATGAATGTATGTCTGTCTGTGTGTGTGTGTGTGTCCTTCATGCATTACCACACCGTTTATCCGATTGCCGTGAAACTTTGGGAAGTTGTTTAATATACTCCAGCGAAGGTTTGTGGCATAGTACGATTGCCATGAAGCTTTGGAAAGTTTTTTTTTAATTTTTTAATACACTCCCGCGAAGTACATTTATCCTACGATAGATGGCGCGTGTTTACACGAGCATTCGCGCACAGTGTGTTCGATCGATTTCAAATTGTGAAGACCATTTCCCCCTTCAAAAAATATTTCTATATATGCATTTGTGAACTGTTATTTACGATATTCGTAATAATGTTTGTTTAATCACTTTATTTCAACTTTTTTTTGCTAATTATGTA